AATCCACTTCGATTGAAATATTTGATGATACAGGCGAGACTTGAACCGGCGTCCACAACGAACCGTGCAAGTCGTTCCATCAATTTTTTTTTCAATTCAAGTAAACTTTTATATATAAGTATAAATAAATAAACATTTATTAATATATTAAACTGAAGAGTTTGTTTGTTTAACGAGGTAATCTCTGGCACCACTGGTGGGAATTGATCATTGGTTTTCTAAAACAAATTTTAACCATTCTATGCGGACGAAGTCGCTGACACAGCTAGTATTTATCTAGAGAGCAATATGTGAGTTTTTCACTTTTGAAATAAAATACAAAACATGACATAATGTAAAATGTGACAACCCTACTCGTATGCACCTCAGCATCAAGACGTCATCGCATTTGTATCGCATCCATCAGAGATGGGCCGGAGGGCGCGAGTTCGAGTCTCGGCCGATCGCAGATAACTTGTATGATGCGATTAATGGCTAAGGTATATCTTATTCGGTATAATTATACGCTCGAAATATATCTTGTGTTTTATGAGTTCCTAGTACGTGCAGGTGAGATAACCCAAGATCTCATCGTAGTTGGATGATAGCGAAAAACTTGCAATATTGTCTCAACGGCTCAATAGTTGAAGCTTTAAAAGTCAGAAGACGCCCGATTCTAGGTTCCCCGGGGCATCAATTTTTTTTTTTTTTACATATACATACTTTTAATATTTGAAAACTTTTAATATTATATGCAACGGTTAACTATTGAATCATACTTATAATTAGTCCACAGCAATTTGTCTAACAATATAAAGTGTTCATTTCGCGTCAGTCCGCGCATGCGCACGCCCTTAATCAACTCGAACGTACGATGCGTCAGCGCATTCAGGTTTGAACACATTACAAGAGAAAAATCTATAATAAAAACAGGATAATGCATGTAAATTACGCGAGTAGTACACATTTAAACAAAAAAGTACAACAGTTTAAAACGCGAAATTTATTACTTAAGATTGGTTACAAATTATTTTAATTACAACCCGATGTTTCAGATGTTTTGCAGCAGCCGTCTCCCCGTTTCCACGGGTTAACTTATATATTTCGCGTTTTAAACCGTTATAGTTTTATTTAAATAAAAGGATAATTTTATGTCATGTATAATCCCTACTTAGTACTTACAGAAATACGTTGCAAATATGCTCGACATAGTAGGAAAGTTATAAGGAATTTTAGCAAAGTTATTTTAAAGTTTTAGTTTAGTTAAGAACATAAGCAGAAAGTAGATTATCCTTTTCTTTCACTTTTTTGAAATAATATCTTTTTACTTAACCCGCTTCCGCCCTCGCGTCGCTTATCATTTGTCCTCACCCTATCGTCCCACCTGCGCCGGCCGTCAGGAAGTCTTGTCCCGTCATCCTAACACGGGCAGACGGACGGACAAGTATTACCTTTGCTATTAACTCACTTATAACTGGCTTTCTCGTATATTCGTTTTCTTAACGGATCTTACGGTACCTACAACTACGTGTACATACCTATACACTATTATATATATTTTGAGTCAATTTTCAACAAGCACAATAAACAAGATGCGAAGGTCGACCAATTTTGGCTTTTGATACACGGAATCCACAGACTGAAATCGAAACGAAGACGAAACTTCACGGCTTTGGACGTGGACGGTGGTTCGTTTAATGTCCAAAATTTCAGTCGAAGGTAACATTTTCAAAAATATTATAAATTAAATAGAAAAATGTTAGACCCGGTGGGGATCGAATCCGTGACTCGTTGATTATTAGCCGTGGATAGCTACCATGACAGCAACGGCCGTCACAAGTCGGCTTTTATTTTGGTCTAGGTGATGAAAATAAAAGTATTGTGTGCTGTACTTTGTAATATAATTTCTTACCGGAAATTGTAAGAATCAATCAAAAACGTTAGCACATTGTTAAAAAACAATTCGTATGTGCCACGTTTGGTGTCTCGTTTAAACTGAATTTACATATAACTGTAAATAAACGATGTTAAATGTAAAAATAAATTTACACAAAACAAAATAAAAATACATTAAGGTAGAACCTTAAATAAAACACTTTTCACACAAAAAAATAATTTTCAAACAAGTTTAACTAAAATTGTATTTAAATGTGTACAACTCGCGTAAACTACAGACAGTGCACAAAACCTTTACCAACATATCGATCATTAGAAAATTGACTAGAACACAATGCAAGAAGTTTATTTTTTGTACGTACGTATACTCTCACCTACGCACTGCATAAATCTTTTTGCGGTTGTACCTAGCTAAGTTTGGCGGAATCAAAGCTTATCATGGAAATCTGCCAGTGAAAAGTTTAAAAATATTGTGTAAAATATTCATCAAATGGTCGGGTCAATAGTTTGTACTGTCAATCAGTTTAATTCAATCAAGATATCGGGATAGAAGGTCATCTTACAAATTGAATGACAAATACAAAAGTTTAGATGGAGAGACATTTAAAGTTTTAACAGTGTTTAGAAAATAAAGTCCACTATTAATATTTCAACAATATCTGTCTAGTACTTTGTGTGTGAAAAACTAACAGAAATAATATCTTGCGTTTATCACCTAAATTAGGTTAAAATGTTTAAAAACGAAGTGGAGTTTTGCCTTCTGGGGCATGGGACGAGCAAATTTCTGTGGCCGTTTCACTGGTCAATTTGATTTACAGGCAATTAGTAAAGAGTAGTAAAAACATTCAAATTTAGAACTGACATTCGGTATATAACTATTGACTACAGAATAAATGTAACCGTTGACCTACGGCCCACATAGAAATTGATTCAATATAATTATGCTACTGTTCATCTGTGTACTGTGCAAGTAGCATTGACCTTTGACCCTGCCCCTTGATTCAATCAGCGGTTGATTGACAGACTCATCGTACCTCAAGTAATAAATAATAATTGATTTATTTTTAATGGAGTAACGAGTATTTGATTTTGTTAATTATGTATTTATAACGTGACCTTCTCACGTACATAAAAAAGTGTGAAAATCCGTGGGGCATGGGGCGAACACATCTCTGTGTCCATCTAACTGATCGGTTGTTGATCAGACCTCTGCGCCCTGCCCGACCGAAATATCTAAAATTTCCCCAGGATTCGAACCCAGGACCTCTCGCGCTTATCGTAAGGTTAGGATAACACGTTGCACCATTTCGCTACAGAGGCGGGATATAGACATTAAAACTTAATTATTATTAAGTAATAATTACTTAATACAAAGGTACCAGGGTTTAAGAAGCGCGTTGGAGGTCTGTTAAATTCGTTAATCTGTGTGTAGTGTTTAACTTAAGCAGCGTGCCAATAGACCTGCTACATTTTTTGTTAATATGTGGCTAGTGTACTGTTATGGTGATCATAACCCGTGTCCCCTACATGGGACGGCTACACACTATCTCCATTTCACTGAACAGTTTTTATTTAGGTGATTTTACTTACGTTAGTTGATAAGATTGTGCCTTTCTCTATTAAAACAAATTATTATTTGTCCACAAGATTTGAACCTAGGACATCTCGCGCTTGACTCAGAGTTGTCTAGAAAGACGTTCTATAGTTGAACTACAAAGGAGAATTATTCACACAATATTATTGAAATACAGCTGAAAATGGTTTTAATTGTAACAATGGTTCTAAACCGTTACTTGTGTTATATTTAATCGTATACTACCCGTTAACTACAGACAATACTTTAAAATAGATTTCTTTATTTTTTATCTAAATTTTACTTTATTTTATCTATAAATTACTTAGAACGCTTCTTTCTTAAACAATCGGACAAAACACATCGTAAGTATACCTCACACGACATGAGAATCGAACCCACCTACACTTGACACTTATTTACAACTGAACTTGGCGATATATTCCGAATCAAATTGTCGAACCATCATCTTGTTACACACCTACGTAACACAAATCTACTTTAACACTAGATACGGCAATTTAGACCTTAATACAATGGGATAAGCTGTATGCAGCGGCACCAATGTTTGCACCGCTCGATAATTTGCGACCTTTTAATGTGTTATGTATGCCTGGTACTTCACAGCTAAGTCGTAAAGTGTGCGCCAGTGTTGGACATGTTTTTCGTAGTGTCGCGTATCGATAGATTTTAGGTCTTTATCTAAGGGACAATGTACCTCGTAAATTTCTTAAAACGACGTTTGTTATCCAATAATGTAGGTTTAGAAGACCCACCACGCTGCGCCAGCGCGTCTTGGCGGGCTGTAACGAGTATTGACACTAAATTTGTAATACCTGGACAGACTTATTCCTTCTTTCTAACATCCACACTAACTTTATTTGGGGACTTCCTGATATGGCATATATGCGTCCAATCCGGGATTCGAACCCGAGACCACGTTATATGCAGTAGAGTAAACAATAGGCCAACGAGGCAGTTGATTTGCATAGAGACAAGTATGAAGTTCACTTAATGGAAAGTGAAATACGCCAGCCGTATAACATCTAAACAAGATGTGCTGCCGACCCATTTTTTGGCTTTGGATATTCGAAAATTTACAGACACTTAACAGCTCAGATGATGGAGATAGGTGATTGGAATACCCAATTAATATCTAGATTTCTAGACGAAATCCAACATGTTTTAGACAAAATTATACATGATTAGAAGAAACACGTTGGACACCATGGAGATCGAATCCACGACCATATATATTATTATCGAAAAATGTATTTTTTTATAATTATAAAATGAGAAATGCAAACAAAACGATAAAATTTATTATAGAATTACGTATCTACATCACACCCTACACGAATTAATTTCTTTTCACTTGCAAGTTTTACTTATATCTAATTGCACGTATAAAACGAAATAAATATGATGCACTGTATTCTTATTCAGAACGCTACAAACACAGAGTAACGGCACAAGCGCAATTATGTGACAAGGTAAATTAAGTTATATGCCCCTTTCATAGAGTTTGTAATAGTTTAGAACGGACCGACCGATGCTATCTTGCGGACTGTATCGTATTCCGCCTGAGCGCATTATATCTCCAGTCACTCTCAATCACTCAAGCTGTCCGCCTGTCAGTCATAAGCAAGACGAACGGGGGGGCGAACCCACACCTCCCGAGGTGAGAGGGGGGCGGTCAGCTCTTGAAGACAATTTATACTCAACTCGCTTCGCATCTGAGTGTACTAGAATGTTGCGATGAAATTTTGTTTTGTAGAATAATTTTATTTAGTTATGTTTGTACTCCAATCATTGGAGTGGATAAGCTTTTATATATTTTTTTTGAATCATTATTACAGAGTATTTTGTAAAGAAACATTCTTATTGAGGTACAATTGATTAACTATTGCTTACGCTAGTGGTACTAACATTTAATAAATGATCGAAAACAAAACGTTCGTAGTATGCCTATAATTTGAATTAAAGTTAGGTAAAAAACTTTAAAATGGCCACACATTACCAAATCCTATACGAGTGTCCTTCCTTCAATAGATTTTTAGCAGTATAAGAAAACAAGAAATCTCTACTAATTGATTTGAACGTAGTTGTCGAAAATAAAAACAGTATTAATGAAGGTTCTTGGGCGTGCAGAGTCAAAAACGCGACAAAGCCGGCCGGTGCTGGCGGCGAGTTAACATCATTATCGGTGGGGTGTGGGTTGTGGGGTCATGGGGGGAAATGGGGGACACACGTCGCTCAGATGTCGCGCACAGACGGACGTCTTTGTCCGCCGCTTTATTTACCCCGTGCCTTTGTAAAGGATAGAAGCGGCGATGTTTCTAGACGGTTGATATTTTGTTGGCTATTTGGTCACTCGCTTTGGCTTTGTACTTAGCTAACGTATTAGAAATATTTTAGAGCGTTATTCGATTAAATGAATCCCTTGTGAAGTTGTTATGAACCATAATATAGTAGAAATATTGATAAAAAACACATATTATATTAATTGGTTTGTCTTTTAATATTCTATCTTTCCGAATTACTCACGTTACAAATTAAGCTTCAAAATTGATTAAATTTTTTTTATATGTGAATTAATTTATCATTTGATCACCCTTCAATCTATTTTTCCCTTGTACTTATACCCTAAAACACTACTTTAATTTTATTCGACTAATCTTTTAAATCGAATCTTTAAAAAAAACATATCTCTCAATGATATCTAGAGATAGATAATTGTCACTTGACATATTAAATAAAAGTGTAAAGCATCTAAATGTCTAAATTAAAAATAAATTAACTTATTAATTTATTTATTCTTTATACGTCTAAAAAATCGTCGAGTCTATGAATGTATTAGCTCTACGCACATCCGATTCAATCAAAGTTGACAGCCCAAAGTCGCTGTGGGTCGGACAATGTGCCCATCATCGATTTTTCTCCCGTATTTGTGTTTATAATACTCTCCCAGTCTATCAACAGCCGTGTAAGACGTAATTGGGTATTAATATAACGTATACGTTGTACGAAGCAATCACAGTCGATTTCATTAAAGTACCTAAATAATAAAACACTTATGACCGCCTAAAACACGTAATATATTAGTTTTATTATGACGGTCACTTTGCTCTTGTAGATTAGATTATGCAAATATAACAACCTAAGTCATAAAATTGCAGTTAGGCTACTCTACCTCCAGCAATCCCATATCATGTCCTTGTGAACAGTCCCAAGATGTCTGTGAACCGAAATTTGCATCAATGCACTCAATCAAAGCGTCCATTCTATGAAAAACTTTTTTTTTAATATAGAGGAGGACAGGCAAGCATAGGATTCACTTCCGCTGTCGACCTATTTTGGCTTTGGATATTCGGAATTCCACAGATTGAAACCGAAACGCGATTAAATTATCTGTGGACTGTTGCTCGGTCGGAGAGAATTTCTATATTCCTACCACCCGTTTAATATCCAGTTTTCCAGAGTTCAGCATGTTTCAGGAAATCTAGAAACATTTTGGACCCGGTGGGAATCGACCCGACGACCCGATGATTATTAGCCATACATTGCTACCATTAGACCGAGCGCTTCTAAACTTCACACTAAAATCGATCAGAACCATTTTGAACCTCAACTATTATGACGCGCGTCAAACGTAGAACAAAATATTGCAATACAAAATAAATAATGGTAAGCGAAAATGAGTTTTATGTATAAGCTGATAGAGTTGAGTGTGGTCCTGACAGGTTGAGATGCGTAGCTGTCAACGACATGTCACGAGTCTGAAGACGCCGTTCTGTCTGGTTTTCGACGTCGATAGTGGAACCGTTATATATAGACGAAAGACCTGCATTTTCGTACGAAATCTTCAAGTTGACGTTAATGTGCATAAACCAATTTAACATCAGACTATTGTGAAACTGAATTATTACGCATTATATCGCAGGGAGACATTTAATATTTATTGATTCTTAGAGGCATATCAATTAAATACTTCCTAAATAAATAATCGATTCTAAACTGGCATCCACGGCTAACCCAACCTTACCAATAGAGCTACCGTGTACTACACGTCATCGTCGAATTTTTTCAACCCATCGATACTTGCAACTCTCGCGCATTGTAATTTTAACCTTATCATTTTCCCCGTTGCCGCATTTCCCACAATTTCTACCCTCCCATTGGTCTCAGCTTGCTGCCTAAAGCCCTCCTCGATAAATAGTCCAACCAACACAAAAACAAATTTTCAATTTTAACCAGTAGCTCCTGAGATTAGCGCGTTCAAACAAACACTTCAGCTTTATAATATTAGTATAAATTTTGTTAGCGAGTGTTGTTTTTCTATTTAGTTTTTCATAAACAAAATTATGATAATTAAAAAAACATTTAAAAAATATGATTATCATAGTTTATATATATTATAGTTTATATAAAACTTATGTAACCTGAGCGCTTATAAAATTAAACGTCGTAAAACGGAATTGTCGCCCGCAATAAAATAGCGCCAAAAATAAACTATGTTTGACAAATACCGTACAGATGTCGTGAGGGGGAATCTTCGCACCTCGTTTACTTCTTTACATATTTTCGGATGAATTCGTCACGAGCCCGCGTATTCAAAGATTGGCTTTAAACGTACTTAAGTTAAATTAAATAAGCCACAGTTAATCAAAATTAAACCTATGTCTCCGAGGAATAGTGAAAATGAGATATTTTAATCAAATAAAAGTATTTATATAGATAGGTACATAACTTAAAATAATGTTAGTTAAATGTTAAGATCAGAACGAAACACGGTTTAAAACGCGAAATTTTATTACAACAAGAAAAGACGTATCTAATACATTTCACATTTTAAATCGTTAAAAGTGATTTATTTGTGTCTACTATAGACAGCACTTAAGGGCAGATTGCTTTAACTATACTCAACATAACGTGACTTTAATAAAGAACACATCCATTATATTATGAATGTTATTAACTAAATTAAGGTTATATAAGTCCGGACACGTGATGATGTACACGAATGTAGAAGTGAAAAATAAGGCTCCAATCCAAGAAACATCTAAACAAAACAGCTCAATCACTAGAATGTCATCAAACATAGCCATCGGGCACATACATCATAAGATCGAAATCAAATCTGACCGATAGCTATAAATTGTGAGCAGAATCGATATATCAATCAATAAATCGCGCTGAAGATTGAGATATTTCACTCGGGGGGTGGCGGGGGTACGCCCCCCGACAGAGGTGGGGCTGACGGATATATTCTACGCAGACACCCGTCAATCACTCGAGATATGATGGGAATTAATATTAGAGCCGAGAGGCCGATAACGCAAATAGAATTGGCGAAGGATGCGATAATATTCTTTACAAACAAATTGTTATTTTAAATAAAACACTTTAACGGTTTAAAACGCGATATATTAGTTAAACTCACGGGGTTCCCTGACCACGGCTGCTGCAAAGCATCGAAACGTCGGGCAAGTTAAAAATCATTTTCAAATAAGTTTAATAATATATCGGTTTTAAACCGTTAAAGTGTTTTATTAATGTGTACTACTGGTAAATAGAAGTATTTAAATTGTTATGTCACAAATTTAATAAGCATCTAGGTGTATAATACTTTAGTGATAGATTAATATAGTAAATACGAGAACAGGTGAACGATTTGAGGTAAATTTGTTTATTTGAAGTAGCTACTTCTGCACTTATGTGACTTATAAATAACCTCGCTACTAAAATTAATGTTAAAATAATTACAATACAAATCTAAATTAATCTTGGATAGGGTATATAGAGTATATCATAGACTAGCTGTGCCAGCGACTTCGTCCGCTAAGAATTTTCGTTTTGGGCATCCAAATTCGTTTTTGCCAACTCCTTTATAAACTTAAGGTATTACCCACGACGTTGCTCGCGTCCCTTCCCGTCGTTCTTGCAAGTTAATCTTAAAAGATAGACATATAGCGTCGTGAACGTTTTTTAGCACATTTAAAGAGGAATCAATCTCTCATACATATTTTTTGGGTATCTTGAACCGTTTTTGCATCAAAAATTTTCACATTTTCCGCCGTACCTTCGCTTGTATTAGTCATAGGGCGATGTTTTATAGCCTATAATAGCCTTCCTCGATAAATGCTCTAACCAACGCAAAATTAACACAGAATTTTTCAATTCGAACTCGTAGTTCCTGAGATTAGCACGTTCAAACAAACAAACTCTTCACCTTTATATATAAGTATGGATTTTTACATAAGCAATTCTTTGTTTGTCTAAGTGAAATGCTTACCTTTGTGATTTATAGGAGTGTACAATTATACTGTTTTGTTTATATGTATGTCGATAAGCCTTTAAGAATAAATATATCATATGAATCAATTATTGCAATACAATTCTTATAGCGAGTCTATAGATTTTCTCTATAAGATGAATAAAAAACATGTTTAAAATCGATTTTTAATCTTTTAACGGTTTAAAATGCGAAATATATTAATTATTGATTAACCCGACGTGTCCGTATGCTTGGACTTTCTTTTCTAAATCGTTATAAAAAATATTCAATGTCTGTCTTATTCTATCTAAAATCGTAGCTACCAGGACCACACGGCATATAGAGCGATCACAAAAAAAAGCTACAAAAATCACAAGACATTTTTAACACGTCTTCGCGAAGCACATGTGCGTCAATACGAAATCAATCAAGTCCGTCTCCCCATGTGCGGAGGGGGGGACGTCGACCCTTGACCTGTCGCTGTTTACTCTGCATTCGCCTTGACGTGTGATTGATACGTCGCTACTCGCTACGGACTCATGGTGCCCTGGTACTCCCTGACTAATGCTCGCTTCCTAGCTGACGTTTGATTGATTTGTTGCTACAGTTTATGCTGTACTGGTTACATTTAAAATATAAAACTTTTAAATTTAAAAAAGAATATTATCTGTATTAAATATTCAAGTCAATTGTCAATCAAGCTTAGTATATCTAGCCTTGACGAGTATTATTAATAAGCTGTTATCCTAGGTCCAAATACATGATTTAATATTAATAACAAAAAGATGTATTTAAAAGCTCAGCAGCGCTATGTTATTTCTGTTATCGAAATGAGTTTTATCAAAAATGGCTGAATCATTTTGTAAATATGATTTAAAGATGACATATTCTATATAAAAAATAAGCTTTTATAAATAGTAAATGGAAAAACCTTTTCTCTCGCAACATAACTTGTTGACAATACAGAAGATAATAATATATTGATTTATGTATTTGTAGCAGGCTTCAATAATTACTATGGATCATATTAGAAAGAACACTTTTATTT